ATACACACACACACATACACACACACATACACACACACACACACACACACACACACACACACACACACACCTTAGACTTTTTGAGCATTTATTCAAAGTGTTGGTCTGGAGGCCGAATTTACATACCCTGTATGTAAATATAGTATTTGTGGGCCTAAACGGCAGCATAACATCCAAATCAGTGAGACACATTGAATTTGATTTGTGCATGCACAGCATGCCAAAATCAGCAGTTACATTTAATATAACAAGCAATGTGTGTGCATGTTTGCAGTTTCGCGGAGGTACCCTGTGTTCAGAGGCAGGCCCTCTGGCAATGAGTCACAGCATCGCCTCGACTTTCAGCTGATGACCAAGATACAAGACACGCTCTTCATCGCTGGCAGGTATACTGAACGCGCAGATTCTCCTTCACACATCTCCCCACACCAGTTCACTAACGTGCATCTTGGCAGCTAAACGGCGGCGATTGGCGGAGGGGAGGGAAAGCTCTTAGTGTTATTGGATCGTTGGGTTGTAGGCCACCATCTCATGTATATGGTCGCTATTGATCCAGCAAAAGCATCTATCAACCCAGGCTGATGCTCTGTCCAAGATTTCTTGGCATCTGTACGTGTTGTTTTAGTATTTACGAGCACTGGGAATAATCTTAGCACCAACCACTAGTATTGTAGCAAGAAATCACCTTGACATCTACAGTATAACTGCCCCCCAACCGTGCCCCCAACCACCCTACTACTGTAATCACAACCATATGTATGACTGGGGTCAGGTAAATCACACTGCCAGTTGAGAGTGTTCACATAATGTTGGCTGAAAGTGAAGGCTATTATTGTTCCCAGTTGGGTGTTGCGCATTTGTCATAACTGGCACATCATCAAAACAAGAAGTGATGTCATGCAAAATACAGAAGATATTCAGGTTTTAAAGCCAGTTGAACAAAAAGCAGTCTTCAATGAGGAAGAATTACCCGTTTATATTCTCTTTTACACAAAAGACTATTATTTTGACAGATTATTTTGTTTATCATTGCCAGTTGAGGAGGACTGCTTCAACTCAAGATCTCATGTTACCACAAAACCAAAACTTGTGTTTTGGGAGACTAACGAGTTATATCAAATCAACAACAGATGTGATTTTCCAAGGATGAGCGCAATTCTGAACAACAAAATAATCAGTAAAACAATGCAAATGAACTCATTACTATGCATCAGAGTCCCTGCAATTGTACACTATTAAAAACAAATAAACTATGGCACTGCTAATATTAGAGCACATTTCATGCAAATTATTAGTATTTGAGTCTTTAATAAAAGCCCTGGATAAGTCTTAAGATTTTAATTTTATATTTGGTCATCTTTTAAATGTATTCTTTGTTGCGTCACTGAAATTGCGTATGCTATGTTGCTGTCCACAGAGATCAAGTCTACCTAGTAAGTTTGAGAGAATCCTACAGGAATGAGATCATCCCTTACCGGGTAAGATTCTCGCCACAAGCTACTCATTTAAACCACACACACACACACACACACACACACACACACACACACACACACACACACACAAACCCAA